CCTGGCGGCCCACACCTGACTGCCCACACCTGACTGCCCACACCTGACTGCCCACACCTGGCGGCCCACACCTGGCGGCCCACACCTGGCGGCCCACACCTGACTGCCCACACCTGGCGGCCACACCTGACTGCCCACACCTGACTGCCCACACCTGACTGCCCACACCTGGCAGCCCTCTTGAGAAGGTGGGAGAGAACACATAGCTGCACCCCCCACGGCCCACCACCCTGATCGCCATGCAGCCGAGAGGCCATGGCCTCCGGAGGCCATGCAGAGCCATCACACCTGGCCTTCTCCAAACGACTCAGGGGCACAGCGCACGCTGCCGGCTGGGCAGATGGGAAATTGAGGCCTCATTGTCAGCTCTCCTGAAGCCCGTATCCCAGGCCCCAGCCATTGTGGAGGCCAAGGCTTGGTGGTTCCACTGGAGACAGCCTGGCCTCCTCCAGGAAGCCCTCCGGGGCCTCCTGCCCTCTTCTTGGCCCTTACATGCCATCCGTCTGTGCCTGGAGACCAGTGACAATAACCCAGCAAGCCCGGGGTGGGACCCTCACCTGGCCACTGCCCATGCTGTGCCCAAGTCTTGAACTCAGGCCCTCCAGAAGCACTGTGGTGCCCTGGTGCCAGCTCCATGCTGGTACATCCTGCAAGGCTGCGGGTGACTCTGAAGTCACCGCCTCCAGGAAGCGGCTGCACCCTGCCCTAGGCCCCCAGGCCCAGGAGCGAGGTTCCTGTCCCTCGGATGGCCACATACCCATCGCCGGGTCATGTCAGACCCCCCCCCCCACGTGCTCAGCCCAGCGTCTGCTCGGAGCGGCCTGGGTGTGTTTGCTGAGTGAATACGTGTGGCAGAGGGACCCTGGGCTCCTGAGGCCCAGGCAGGACGCGGTCCAGCCCACCAAGGCCCGGCCTCAAGGGCCTGGGCGCAGCCCCCAGGGCCGGGGAGCCAGCCCGTGAGGTGTTCCAGCTGGCTGGCCACCCTATCTCAGGCCATCTTGCCGCCAAGGTGGCTGCTCCTCCCACCTGTATCTGGGGCCCTCATCTCCCCGGCAGGCCGGCTCGCCCCGACTTCTTCCCCAGTGTCCCGGCTTCTCCTCCACGACCGCCCCCACCCCACCTACCGACAGGCCAGGCCCCGAGCGCCGCCTGCAGCTGCAGCTGCTGCTCAGGCTGGGCTCTCCGCGCCGTGGCCCTCACCCCCAGGTCAGCCTGTGGGACCAGGACCCCAGCGCAGGCCTGTGGGGCTGGGGCCTGGACTTCTGCCCACACTGGAGTCTTCGGCCCAGCCCCATGCCCGCTGCTGAGTGCGGAGTACTACCGCTGCCGCCCGGCTCCCGCCGCCTACCTTCCTGCCGGCCTCGTTGTTGTGCAGGTTCATGAGGCGCCGTGCATTCTTCTTGATCTCCCGGGCGTCCACGAAGCGCCGCGAGAAGTCGATGCCGTAGCGCACGTCGGCCGAGCAGCCGCCCCACTTCCAGCCCTCCGCCTGGTTGTAGTAGCCCTGCTTCTCGCGGTCGCAGCCGCAGTTGCTCAGGTTGCCCTGGCTGCAGGCCGCGGTGACCGCGTGCGCCACGCCGGCCGCGGTGATGGCGTAGGTGAAGGCGGCCTCTCGGCTCCCTGTGGCGGGCAGAGACGGGGCGAGGGGTGAGAGCGCTCCTGCGTGACCCTCGCGGGCCTCTGCCCCCGCCGCGCTCCTGAGCACCAAAGCAGTGTGTGATCGCTCCCCTCCCCGGAGCCTGGCGTGGGGGAGGTGCTGGGCGTGCGGGACCAGGCGTGTGCCAGGGGGAAGCCAGCCCTGGGGATGCACAGGGCCCCACCCCACCCCGGCGCCCGAGCCTTCTTCTCTGGCTGTCTGCGGCCATCATCCTTCAGGTCTCCAGCCTCTCTCTCCTCCCACACCCCTGCTGGCTAGGGCACCTGAGCCCTCTGTTGACTGGCCTCTCCCCTGCAGCCGCTGGCTGGGTCCAAGCCCAACCCAGCGAGGCTGGCAGTCAGGCCCAGGACCCAGCCCTACATCCACGGCCTGACCCCGGGGCCAGCATCCGCCACACCCACCTGCCCATGTGCCCAGACACTGGCCCTGCTTTGGGGCCGGGGTGCTCACACCCAGGCTGAGAACAGTCACGAGTCATGTCAGATCTGTTCCGTGGACAGCTACGGAGTGCCACTGCGCGCACAGGCTTGGTCAGGGGACGGAGGAGCAGTACGGGCCTGGGCAGTCAGGACTGTGAGGCACGGGTTTGGCTGCCTGGCAAACTCTACATCGGAGGCTTGGGGGAGGCCCAAGGGCCTCCTAGTGGACACACGCCACAGCAAGACACCCAATCGCAGACCAGAAGCAGTTATAGAAGAGGCCGGGCCAGGGATGAGGAGGGAGGGAGGCCTCCCCCGCTACCCCGGGGTCAGCCAGCAGTCGGGGATTCCCACGCCGACGTCCTGTCCTGGCATCCTGGGCGGGCAGGCAGGTGCCCGGGCAGCTCCGTGCATTTCAGGGCTGACCCCTAGGCCTTCTCAAGTCTTCACGGGGGTCGGCTCTCCCCGGCCTCTGCCATGTGGGCCCAGACTCACTAGCAGTCACTCACCAGCCGGAAACTCCCCCTACGTCCTTTTTAATTTGGTTTTGCTGAGCCTAGCTCTCTCTCCTCTCGTCCCACGGAGGACGCGGGGAGCGAGGCCCAGCAGAGGGGCGCTGGGCCCGGGCTGGGCCCTCACAGGGGAGGATGCCAGCTCCAAGGTCTCGGAGCCATCCCCCAGCCCCGAGTGCCCCGGCGTGCGCGGGGGAGCACACATGGGAAGCTTCCTCTTCTTCCTGGGGCCCACTTGGGATTCAGAAGACCTGGGCTTGGGCCTGGGGTGGGAGGCTGGCTCAACACCTCTGAGATGACTTCCGGTACCCTAGCCTGGTCCCCAAAGCCCCAGGGCCTGGGCGCCACTGGCCGTCCAGCTCCCTGTCTGGGACGGAATTGCTGCCCAAGTCCCCAGGCCCAGGTCTGACAAATCTCGGACACTCCCGGGTCCCAGAACGCCGTCGTGCCAAAGCTCACGCCGCAGGACGGCGCGCAGGACCCGCGTCTGATGATCTGTGTGCACCCCGCTCACAGCTGCTAGTCCCCACGCCGGAGCAGGTCGGGGCCCTTCCCCTAACGTATCTCCTCTCATCTCCGCAGCACCTGATAAAATGAACTGTCTGAATCAGACCCATCTCACAGATGGGGTTTGCTGCAGGCTGCGCTGGGGAGAGGCGGACGGAGGCTGCCCCGAGGTGCATGGGGATTCCTCTCAGGACAGCGCCGCCCTGGTGCACAGCTGCGCCCTCGGGCCCCAGAGCCCCAGCCAGGCCCAGCACACACCTGGGCCACCCCACAAGTGCCCTGGGGTGGGCCGGTGAGTCCCAGATGTCTGAGAGTACCAGCCTGGCGTGGGACCCCCTGTCCGTGAGTCCCAGAGGTCCGAGGGCACTAGCCTGGCGTGGGACCCCCTGTCCGTGAGTCCCAGAGGTCCGAGGGCACCAGCCTGGCGTGGGACCCCCTGTCCGTGAGTCCCAGAGGTCCGAGG